ATCAGAACCGAACCAAAATTATAACTAAATGGTTTTTTGTTCGAATAATCAAAACTATTTTTTTTTTTTAGAACCGAATCGAACCACTTGATTTGGTTTGGACATTTTGTTCACCCCTACTAATTTGCCCTTATTTTTCCAACATTTTTATATGTTTGTATGTTAGTATCAATGTGTGCGACCACCTTTCTCACTTTAAATATTCTCTTTAGAAGTAGCTCTACACCTTTTGAGAGAGAGAGAGAGAGAGGGAGAGAGAGGGAGAGATAATTGTTTTGATTTGTCTTAGATCCTAGACTATTTAACTTACGTAATGTCCACTATAATTGAGTTTCACATGAATTTAATTTACATTCTGTGCAATTTGAACACAAAACCTCCACATTACCTCCTTCCTTAAGAGTAACTTAATTCAAAAATTGGTACTAATTGAACGACTTGTTCAACGAGAATCATCATTCAACTTAAATACCTCATAAAGTAGAAGTCTTTAAATTTGAATTGTTGGGGTGTGAAAGAAATTCACACTATGACCGAACCCCGGGTGAACAGTACATAAGTGAATGGTGAATGAAATATTAGGACCGATCCATCAAGTTGGTCATCAAAATCACTAAAAATCTTGATATCTGTCAGCAGAACCCACTGGTATCCAAAATAATACCTGCCCTGATAAGCAATAACATGAAGGTACATAAATTGAAAAGGAAGATCCCTCTTTATACAAAATAACAAAAGCCCCGACCCGAATCATGGCCCATTATGTTCCTTCGTCTAGTCCTTGGGTGAAAGCTACATGGCACCTTACAGTCCCCAAATGCACCAGCAACTAACCACTACTTAGCTTTCAAATTGTTTCCATTCTATTCTTTCTTTGTATGTAAATGGTATAGCTGTCCTTTGACAAGTGCTTTTGATGATGTATTCTCACTCCTTGTTTTGTATAAGAAACAAAAATTTTGTATAAGAAATTATAGAAGTTGATAGTTTGTTTGCATTGGCGATTTTGATATTTGCACTAGTTTTCAAGATAGGTGAAAGGAATAGTTGCATGACATAGCTCGATTTTGATGTGGCTTTGGTATTATTACTTTGCCCAAGGTATGGTACGGGTTAAATTTTGTGACACTATAATATGGAAACTAGCCTTTTTGAGCTTTTGCTAATAGACTTGTCCATGTGGTTCAGTCGTTCCATAATGAGTGAAGAGGCAATGTATAAAGTTTAAAACTTGATTGTAAATATTGAAAAGATAGTTCTCGACTACATATGATCAACAATTCTCTTTTTTGAACGTGAAAATTCAAGAACTCCTATTTTTTTAATTTTTAATTGAAGGTTGGGGTTTGATTTGCACATTTGAAAACGTTGGAGACCTCTATAATTTTCTAAATATGTGTTATTGGTGAAGATGAGATACTTGTGTCGAAGATAAATTCTGGTCGACTTCATTTTTTTTTATAGTTTGACTTCATTTTTAGTGCCCGGTGAAGATTAAAATATATTTTTAGTAGATTTTAATAAAATTTGATGAAATGTGTGATTGAAAAGTTGTGAATTTCATGAAATACATAGTGAAGATCAATTATCGACTTTGATTTTGATAAAAATCTAAATTTTAATCTCAATCAAACAGGGTTGAATATTATGTTCTTTTTTGTTCTTTTTATTTATTATTTAATAGTGGAGATTTTAATATTTTGGAAGAATTCTGCACCAATGACGCAATTTCAATTAACTTAGTGAATTAGGTTTAATTTCTTTAAAACTGCAGCCACTGCAATGGTTTTTTTGGCTTTTGATTATATAGTTATATTTTGAGTTTCGTTTCAATTTCTTGATCCAAATCAACGATTATGTTGATAAAAATGAATTCTTGATATTTATTGACCTTAGAAAACGAACTCAACAGATGTCGAGTCCACTCGTGCATGCGTAAGTCATATTCAACTCGTTAAGGCAGATCTACGGTCAAGATGGTTGCAAAAATTGGACGTGGGAGAAGCTCAATGACACAAGACGTTTCCATTCGGACTCTGGTAGGATTTAACGGAACAAGATTGTATAATGATCAATCTATGAAGACAATATTTGTAATTGTAATAAACTTAATGAGAAAATGAAATTGGTTGCTCTGAATATTTAAAGTTGCATTAGCCTTCATTTGTTATATGGTGGGAGTATTTATAGTATTACATATGGAATGGTGACCCTTGGATCTTTTTACACGTGGTCTCATCTCCTCGGCCAAAGCATCAACTTCTAGCCATTAAGTTGACTTTTCTAACTTTTCAAAACATTTAATGTTCTTACATTGATAGGGCATGACAAATACACTTTTTACCAAGGTCACATCAATCATTTAAATAAAGATCTTCATCATGAGTAAATCCCTACACATGGGCCGTCGCAAGCTGAGAGGCATCGGATCCAGGAGGTG